AAAAGATAAAAAAACAGAATGAAATCATTTTTCTGATCATACCCTATGAGTTCCATTTGTTCAAAATAATGATAGAGAGGGAACCGAATTGATTCTCTGAGGTCCTTTAAATAATCTCTATATGGAACTACTACTGAGTTCTCCTAGACATGAAAACAGAACCAGAATTTCCAAGAGCAAAACTGCTGCTGAGAAATAACAATCATCCTTTTTTAAAGATAGACTTTCTATAAGTCTGTATATTACTTGTTGATGATTATGACCTTTTGGCAAGGGCACAAAAAAGCTACAGTTGGTAGAGGAAGTGCTATTTAACACAGTAAAATAAAATTCTTCAGTTGTGACTGAAGATCTAATAAAATAGATGCCAACTTCTTTATTCCAAAGTGAGATGCTAAATCTGTCACATAGAACAGGCAAAGCATTTGGGCAGTAACTGATTCCAAGCCTCTTGGTCTGTCATCCACCTTGAAGATTAATAAAAGAAAGAAAAGGTTGAAATTGAAGAGACCTGGCTGAGAGTATTTGGAATTTGGAGGAGTTATTTGGAGAGAATTTCCATGCTGAGCTCCACTCCCTTTCCCCAGGGGATAAGCTATTTCCTGCTGTAGTTGGGGCCTTGAGGATATTGGGCAGGGAGTTTGAGTATTACCCTGAAGTTGGGGAACATGGTTGACTGAGGTCTGATTACTCCTGAAGCAGCCCTGTGGCATCACAGAGGGAACTTGACCCAGAACATATCTGTACTTCCTTCAGTATGCAACAGAGGAGTCTGCTTTCTAGGGGTCCTATAAGCAACACCAGAAAGAAATGTTAATTAGTGGGACACCTGGGTGACTCAGTGATTGAGTGCCTGCCTTTGGCCTAAGGCATGATCCTGGAGTCTTGGGATTGAGTCCCACATTGGGCTCCCTGCACGAAGCCTGCTTCTCCCATTGCCTATGTCTCTGCCTCTCTCTCTGTGTGTCTCTCACGAATAAATAAATAAAACCTTTTTTAAAAAAAGAAATATTAATTAGTGATCAATTAAAATGAATCTTTTAGAGGTAAGTTATCCTCAGCAGAGTCTGGTTACCCTCAAATGTGGAACTTGAGGGGGAATTACAAATTTCTCTTTTCCTGCACCAGTCACTATTCCACTACTGGGATTTCTCAAATACCACACAGAGAGGAAGAGTTCATATTGAAAGATCAGAAGTTGGAACTTTAAGAAAAATTGGTACTTAGGAAAATGGGGAATAAGAATGATGTTATGAGGTGAACTTCCTAAACACACATTAGACTTTTTTTATATTACCATTTGAGTCAAGCTAGATCTTATTATGCAAATTTAATGGAAGTTTTAGTGGTTATCCGGGGAGTTTGTGCTATGTTAATTTAGCTATCTCACAAACCAAATTGCCAATCTCCAGTTTGTGATAAAAATACACACATATATGTATATATATGTACACACACGTATATATATAAAGCCCCAAAGACTTTTAAACATATGGCAGTGCTTTTATAAATTATCCACCCTTATGTCAGGTTATGAACATTTCTAGACCAAAGTGATTTTTCACATTAAAATGGTGTAGGATTAGGTTTGCCCACATGCAACAGGAACCACAAATCAACAGTGGTTCTTTACATAAGGTTTTATTCTTTCATGTAAAAAGTCTGGATGATAGTAGGTCAGGACTAGTATGAAAGTTTGTCAGAAACCTGCTCCTTCCAGCTCTCTATCCTGCCATCCCTGTGCAGAGCCCAAGATGGCTGCCAGATACTTGTCTATGTCCACATTTCATGCAGCAGGAAAAAGAAAAACAGAAGCAGGACCTTTCCTGGAGGTTGTATAAATTACTTCTATTTATGCTCATTGTTCAGAATCAGTCACTGGTCATATTTAAGTATAAAGGAGACTAGACGTGCACTTGCTGTGATAAGCACCAGGTGTCATGTGCAAGTGTTGAGTCACTATATTGTACACCTCAAGCTAATAGTACGCTGTATGTTAACTAACCGGAATTTTTTTTTAAAGATTTTATTCATTTATTCATCACACACGGAGAGAGAAAGAGAGAGAGAGAAAGAGAGAGAGAGAGAGGCAGAGACACAGGCAGAGGGAGAAGAGGCTCCACACAAGGAGCCTGACTCGGGACTTGATCCCAGGTCTCCAGGATCAGGCCCTCGGCTGAAGGTGGTGCTAAACTGCCGAGCCACCAGGGCTGCCCAACTAATTGGAATTTAAATAAAAACTTAAATTGTTTTTTTAAGTAAAAGAGACTAGAAAATGTAGTCTGAAACACCAAGTGCCCAGCTAAAATTTTGGGGTTCTATTACTGATGAAGATGGGAGATCCAATATTGAGGGACAGCATTTGCCCCTGGCACAGGAAACAGGTTAAGAGTGGGTCCTGGAGACAGATTCTTGGCTCTACCACTCACCAGGTTGCAATTTTGATCAAGAGTCTGAAACTTTCCATGTCTTTATTTCCTCAGGTGTGAAGTGGGAATAATAGAATTTTCATGAACATTTGGTATGAAGACATTTGGAATAGTGTCTAGCCGTGTGCTGTTGTTATGACCATTATCCCATGAGTTACAGCAACTCACTGAGCTATGGTCAGTCAAGCCTCTGGAGTTTGTTTACAACATTAGCCTGACACTTCACAGATACGGGTCGATGAATGAAGGAGTCAGACTTGCATGTTTTGAATTGTGGAACATCTCCTTTCTCACTGGTCTAGCTGGGTCTAGCTTATTTTGTTTCAGCCTCAGTTTTTCCTTCCTTAAAATGAAGATGAACTATTCCAAGTGTTTTTTTTTTTTTTCTTTCTCCCTTCAGATCTACTTTCCCCCCTTCTCAACTCTGCTCTGTACCATGGAGGCTGACCTTTATGGACAGCTTCAGTGAGTTTCCTTACCTTCTGCCTTTTGGTTGGGATTAGTCTGTAGAAGGTACTGCCAGGTGAACAGAGGTGGTAGGACTGTTAGTTTGGACATTTATTCCTGTGGTTTTCTCCCTGCAGGGCCATAGTTTGGCACTGGTTATATGCTATAGACTGAATGTTTGTAACCCCCCACCCCCAAATTCAAATGTTGAAATCCTAACCCTCAGGATGATGAAATTAGGAAGTAGGCATTTGGGGGATGATTAGGTCATGAGGGTGGAGTCCTCAGAAATGGGATTAGTGCCCTTATCGAAGAGACCCCAGAGAGTTTCCTCTGACCTGCCATGTGAGGGCAGATGATGGCTGTCCCTCAACCAGGAAACAGGCTCTCACCAGGCACTGCTGAGGCCTTGATCTTGGACCTCCCAGCCTCCAGAACTGTGAGAAATACATTTTTGTTGTTTATAAGTCACTCAGTCTATGGCATTTTTGTAAGGGCAATCCAAATGGACTAAGATACTATGTATCTGTTCTGAAACTCCAAGTGACCTTCTTGTTACAGTTATAGGCCTTTCTAGGTTCTAGTAACTACTCTACCCTATGGCTCTCCACAATTGCTACCCTTGAGGTGTTTCAACGTTGTTGAGTTTCTGAATGCTGAGAACACTTTATAAATAGATCCTTCATTAAACCCTACTCGGTTCCTCATTTGATTGTTCTTTTCTTTCTGTAACCGTAATTGATATACACAACACTCATAGGGTTGCTTTAAGTATTTAATGAAATAATGCATATAAAGTGCTCAATACAGTGTCTGATAAATTTAAATCCATTAATGCTATTATCTGTTTTTCTAACTCCTCATTATATCATTTGAAAATATCTTTGATTCATATAATTTTCAAAGATGTTAATTGATTATTAAAATATTTTACTGCTGAAATGATTGGAACATTATCTCAGGTTAATTTTTCAGTCAGTCTTACACATTAAAACAAAATGGTGCCTAGTAATTTGTTCCCAAAAGAAATGTCTTATTTTTTATTAAAGTATATAATATGAATCTTAATACAGTGTCCCTCACCATTGACTTGTGAACCTGGGAATCTATGAGAAAGAGTAGTTGAGCAGAGGGTATAGGAGTCAAAGCTGGGGAATTGGGTTGGGTGGCTGATGATTCAGGAGGTTGAGGTCTTAGGAGTTGTTAGAGAAGCCAAGGATCTATAGAGCCATGGAGTAGACCAGGGAACCAGGGCCAGAGACTATAGTTAAAATTGCTTTGAATAGGGTAGTTTCCTAGTTGTAGCAGAACTTTATTATACCAACCCAAAGTGGACCAAAGGTGTTTGACTACAGCTATGATACTCTTACAGCTGAAGTTTTCAAATATCTAAACAGAGATTTCTCTCTCTTTTTAAACAAAATCTGATGGGATTAATATGATCTAGGGCTTCATTGGATGTCTTAGGGAAGTTAGTCTTCAGGTTTTGGGAAGAAATGGGTTGTCTTGGTGGTGGTGAGTTCTGCTTCTCTGCTGTGAACCTCCACACTTATGATCTTCTAGAGTTTAGAATGGGAAAAATATTGAATCCACAGCATCCATTTTTGTTCATAAGATTTCCAAGATAGTACTCATGAGGCTTCTTCAATTGGTTTGAGTATATCTTAAAATTTGTAGGTCTTTCTCATAGTAATAATCACTTGATAATTTATTGAGTAATTCTCTGATAGAGATTGGATGATGTAGGTAGTGGTGGTGCTGGTATCTGAGTCCGATGTGATTTACAAAGTGATTGCTACAAAGATTTCTTACTTAGGGAAGTTAAAATATACTAACCTTGAGAAAAAAGTAAAAAGCACAGAGAGTTAGTATTTAGTTGAATGCATTTCATAGAAACAACCAATTTGATTTTTTTATTTTCCAATAACGCATAGTAATGAATGGCCATTTTCACATATTTATGATGGAATAGTTGAACTGCTATGAGAGAGTACTTTTTTTTTTTTAATGTCAACAGCATCAATAATTACAATCAGAATGTACTTCAACAAAAATATTTCAGTAACTGACCATTTTTTGGGCAATATATTTGTTTTTCTCATAATGTCATTTCTATTTTTCCAGGTTTGGATATCAGAAACACATGAACAAATGGCACAAGTTTATTTAAACAGAGAATTGGCTAACATAAAGAGAAAGGCTTTATTGAATGATGAAACAATGAGCTCTGGGATTATTGAAAGGTATCCTTGATACTTTCCTTTGCTTACAGAACATATACACGCAGGAAAGGATTTGTATGAGTGAGTAATGAGGATGCATAGTGGCCCCAGATACACATGGGAGGAACACATTGATCAAAATGAATATATCTCAAGCTTCCATGCTTTCTGTTCATGCCATTTCTTCTGTCTGGAATTCCCTTTCCCTCAATTATTTGCCAATCAGCATTACCCATTCTGGATCCAGCTAAAATGTTACTTCCTCTTTATGCATTTTTTTCTGGTCAGTGTTCTATTTAGGTTTGAACACCAACTCCACAATTTTCTTGTGAAATAGTGTCTACAGTATTCAGTTTGTCAGCTTATAGAATGGGAATTATAAAAGTATCTGCTTCATAGGTTGTTCTGAAGTTTAGGTGAAAAGAAGTATGAAATGCACATAGAAATATTACTTAATAAGCAGTAAGAATTAGGTAAGCTGTCATTGGTCAAGAGAAATTGCTCTTATATTCTTGCCCTCTGAGCATTTTGTTTATGTTCTACATAACAGTTGGATTACCTTCTAATTATTTATATGTATGTGTGTTTCCTCCAAAATAGTTCTGTGAGAGTAGGAACTGTTTCTTACTCCTATCTGTAGTCCTGCAGCATGGCGCCTTGCAATTCCATGGAAAAGTCTTACCATAAATTTTTGTCTTATGTTGTAATTGTTGGAAAATGCAGTCAAAACAATGAAAAAATGCTGATATTTTCATTTACTATTGGGACATTTTATTTTGCAAAGTGCATGAAAGTTGCAAACATGAATGTCCTTTAAAAATTATCATAAAAATTCAGCCCCAGCTGTAATCACCCATGCATTTGTAATAATTTTCTTCATGGTTATACAAGTTACAATTGGAGGGAGGATTCAGAAACTGACCAATCCCATTAATAACTGTTGCTCCTGATAGCATCTTCTCAAGTAAATAAGTTTCTGACTACTCCCACCTTCATGGTTATTCTTACTCACATAATCAACAGTTGAAGCAAGTACTTGACTTGTTACTGCTGGAGCAATTTGAATTGTACCCACCTCCAGCCAGTAATCTAGTTCATGCAGGAGCTCTGTTGACCTATTTTTTCCCCTACATTTAGCAGATATATCCTCAATTATAGGTAATATCAATTTTATTACTACAATTATTAATATAAAACCACAAGCTATTTCCCAATACCAAGTGCCATCATTTGTTTGATCAGTCCAACCTAAAGCTATATATGTACTACTGTCACTCCCTGTCTTAGCAGCCTGAACAAGATTATGAGCCAACTACAATCTAAATAGTACTTTCTTTGTACAGAACTATTGAATCACTATATTGTGTATCTGAAACTAATATGACGCTGTATGTTAACTACACTGGAATTAAAATAAAAAATAAAAAAAATTTAAAAAGGATGAAGAATTTCAAGCCCAAATTAGTTTTACATGGCTTTGAAAGTTTATAATGTCACCTGACATATTTTTTTAAAAATTTCTGTCTTGTTTCCAGGGACACTGGATTGCCTGCTACAGGCTTTGGAGCTCTCTTTACTAGACATCCACCGGATCAGTACAAAATGTTAGTAGATCCTAAACTACTGCAGACTGCACAAAACGTTTCTTTTTATTTTTTCCTTTATCCTGAGAAAATAATTTTTTGTACCTTTTTTTATTAGAGTTCGATTCGCCAACATATACTATAACACCCAGTGCTCATCCCGTCAAGTGCCCCCTCAGTGCCTGTCACCAAATGACCCCCCGCCCACCTCCCTTTCCACCACCCCTTGTTCGTTTCCCAGAGTTAGGAGACTCTCATGTTCTGTCACCCTCTCTGATATTTCCCACTTATTTTCTCTCCTTTACCCTTTATTCCCTTTCAATATTTTTTATATTCCCCGAATGAATGAAACCATATAGTGTTTGTTCTCCAATTGACTTACTTCACTCAGCATAATACTCTCCAGTTCCATCCACATTGAAGCAAATGGTGGGTATTTGTCGTTTCTAATGGCTGAGCAATATTCCGTCGTATACATAGACCACAGCTTCTTTAGCCATTCATCTTTCAATGGACACCGAGGCTCCTTCCACAGTTTGGCTATTGTGGACATTGCTGCTATAAACATTGGGGTGCAGGTGTCCCGGCATTTAACTGCATCTGAATCTTCGGGGTAAATTCCCAGTAGTGCAATTACTGGGTCATAGGGTAACTCTATTTTTAACTCTTTGAGGAACCTCCACACAGTTTTCCAGAGTGGCTGTACCATTCACATTCCCACCAATGTGCAAGAGGGTTTCCCTTTCCCTTTCTCCACATCCTCTCCAACATTTGTTGTTTCCTGTCTTGTTAATTTTCACCATTCTCACTAGTGTGAGGTGGTATCTCATTGTGGTTTTGATTTGTATTTCCCTGATGACAAAGAATGCAGAGCATTTTCTCATGTGCTTGTTGGCCATGTCTAGGTTTTCTTTGGTGAAATTTCTGTTTATGTTTTATGCCCATTTCACGATTGGTTTGTTTGTTTCTTTGCTGTTGAGTTTAAGAAGTTCTTTATAGATCTTGGATGCTAGCCCTTCATACCAATGTCATTTGCAAATATCTTCTCCCATTTTGTAGGTTGTCTTTTAGTTTTCTTGACGGTTTCTTTTGCTGTGCAGAAGCTTTTTATCTTGATGAAGTCCCAATAGTTCATTTTTGCTTTTGTTTCCCTTGCCTTCATAGAGGTACTTGCAAGAAGTTGCTGTGGCCAAGTTCAAAAAGGATATTGCCTGTGTTCTCCTCTAGGATTTTGATGGATTCTTATCTCACATTTAGATCTTTCATCCATTTTGAATTTAGGAGAATGGTCTAGTTTCCTTCTTCTGCATGTGGCAGAAGAATTTTTCCAGCACCATATATTGAAGAAACTATCCTTTTTCCAGTGGATAGTCTTTCCTGCTTTGTCAAATGTTAGTTGCCCATAGAGTTGAGGGCCCATTTCTGGGTTCTCTATTCTGTTCCATTGATCTATGTGTCTGTTTTTGTGCCACTACCACCACACTGTCTTGATGATCACAGCTTTGTAGTACAACCTGAAATCTGGCATTGTGATGCGCCTGGCTCTGGTTTTCTTTTATAATATTCCCCGGGCCAATCAGGGTCTTTTCTGATTCCACACAAATCTTTTTTTTTTAAGATTTTATTTTATTTATTCATAAGAGACACACACACACAGAGAGAGGCAGAGGCAGAGGGAGAAGCAGGCTCCATGCAGGGAGCCCAGTGTCCACACAAATCTTAAGATGATTTGTTCCAACTCTCTGAAGAAAGTCCATGGTATTTGATAGGGATTGCACTGAATGTGTAAATTGCCCTGGGTAGCATTGACATTTTCACAATATTAATTCTTCCAATTCATGAGCATGGAATCTTTTTCCATCTCTTTGTGTCTTCCTCAATTTCTTTCAGAAGTGTTCTGTAGTTTTTAGGGTATAGATCGTTTACCTCTTTGGTTAGGTTTATTTCTTGATATCTTATGCTTTTGGATGCAATTGTAAATGGAATTGACTCCTTAATTTCTTTTTTTCCAGTCTCATTGTTAGTGTATGGAAATGCCACTGACTTCTGGGCATTGATTTTGTATCCTGCCACACTGCCGAATTGCTGTATGAGTTCTAGTAATCTTGGGGTGGAGTCTTTTGGGTTTTCTATGTACAGTATCATGTCAACTGGAAAGAGGGAGAGTTTGACTTCTTCTTTGCCAATTTGAATGCCTTTTGTTTCTTTTTGCTGCCTGATTGCTGAGCCTAGGACTTCTAGTACAATGTTCTAGGACTTCTAGCAGTGGTGAGACTGGACCTCCTTGTTGTGTTCCTGATCGTAGGGGAAAGGCTCCCAGTGTTTCCCCATTGAGAATGATATTTGCTGTGGGCTTTTTGTAGATGGCTTTTAAGATGCTGAGGAATGTTCCCTCTACCCCTACACTCTGAAGAGTTTTGATCAGGAATGGATGCTGCATTTTGTCAAATCCTTTCTCTGCATCTATTGAGAGGATCATATGGTTCTTGTTTTTTTCTCTTGTTGATATGATCTATCACGTTGATTGCTTCACGAGTGTTGAACCAGCCTTGGATCCCAGGGATAAATCCCACTTGGTCATGGTGAATAACCTTCTTAATGTATTGTTGGATCCTATTGGCTAGTATCTTGTTGAGAATTTTTGCATCTGTGTTCATCAGGGAGATTGGTCTATAATTCTCCTTTTTGGTGGGGTCTTTGTCTGGTTTTGGAATTAAGGTGATGCTGGCCTCATAGAATGAGTTTGGAAGCATTCCATCCCTTTCTATCTTTTCGAACAGCTTTAGTAGAGTAGGTATTGTTTCATCTTTAAATGTTTGATAGAATTTGTCTGGGAAGCTATCTGGCCCTGGACTTTTGTGTCTTGGGAGGTTTTTGATGACTGTTTCAATTTCCTCCCTGGGTATCGGCCTGTTCAGGTTTTCTATTTCTTCCTGTTCCAAATTTGGTAGTTTGTGGTTTTCCAGAAATGCGTCCATTTCTTCTAGATTGCCTAATTTCTAACTTATTGGCGTATAGTTGCTCATAATATGTTTTTTAAATTGTTTGTATTTCCTTGGTATTGGTTGTTTGCTCTCCTTTTTCATTCATGATTTTGTTAATTAGAGTCTTTTCTCTTTTGTTTTTAATAAGGCTGGCTAATGGTTTATCTATCTTATTAATTCTTTCAAAGAACAAATTCCTGGTTTTGTTAATCTGTTCTACAGTTCTTCTGGTCTCTATTTTATTGAGTTCTGCTCAGATCATTATTAACTCTCTTCTGCTGGATGTAGGTTTCACTTGCTGTTCTTTCTCCAGTTCCTTTAGATGTGAGGTTAGCTTGTGTATTTAAGTTTTTTTCAATTTTTTGAGGGATGCTTGTATTGCGATGTATTTCCCCCCAGGACTGCTTTGCTGTATCCCAAAGATTTTGAACAGTTGTATCTTCATTTGTATCTCATTTTTATTAGTTTACATGAATCTTTTAATTCTTCTCCAATTTCCTGGTTGGCCCATTCATCTTTTAGCAGGATGGTCTTCAACCTCCACGTGTTTGAATTTCTTCCAAATTTCTTCTTGTGATTGAGTTCCAGTTTCAAAGCGTATGGTCTGAAAATATGCAGGGGACAATCCCAATCTTTTGGTATCAGTTAAGACCTGATTTGTGACCCAGTATGTGGTCTATTCTGGAGAAAGTTCCATGTGCACTTGAGTATAATGTGCATTCGGTTGTGTTCGGATGTAAAGTTCTGTAAATATCTTGAAATTCATCTGGTCCAGTGTATCTTTTAAAACTCTTGTTTCTTTGGGGATGTTGTGCTTAGAATATCTGTCATTTGCAGAAAGCACCATGTTCACCAGTATAAGTGTATTATTATCTAAGTATGTTTTAACTTTGGTTATTAATTGATTGATATACTTGGCAGCTCCCACATTCGGGGCATAAATATTCATGATTATTAGGTCTTGTTGTTGGATAGACCCTTTAAGTATGATATAGTGTCCCTCTTCATCTCTTACTATAGTTTTTGGGATACTTTAATTTATCTGATATGAGCATTGCTACCCCAACTTTCTTTTGAGGACCATTTGAATGGTAAATGGTTCTCCAACCTTTTATGGCTGTAGGCATCCTTAGGTCTAAAATGAGTCTCTTGTAGACAGCAAATAGGTGGCTCTTTCTTTTTTATTAGGGCTGAAACCTTGTGTCTTTTGATGGGATCATTAAGCCCATTCACGTTCAGAGTTACTATTGAATGATATGAATTTAGCGTCATTGTAATACCTATTCCGTCCCTGTTTTTGTGGATTATTTCTTTGGGCTTCCTCTTTCTTTTACAGAATCTTCCTTAATATTTCTTGCAGAGCTGGTTTGGTGGGCACATATTCTTTCAGTTTCTGCCTGTCTTGGAAGCTCTTTATCTCTCCTCTATTTGAATGAGAGCCTTGCTGGATAAAGTATTCTTGGCTGCATGCTTTTCTCATTTAGTACCCTGAATATATCCTGGCAGCTCTTTCTGGCCTGCCAGGTCTCTGTCGAGAGGTCTGCTGTTAATCTAATATTTCTCCCCATATAAGTTAGGGATCTCATGTCTCTCACTGCTTTAAGGATTTTCTCTTTATCTTTGGAATTTTCAAGTTTCACTATTAAATGTTGAGATGTTGAATGGTTTTTATTGATTTTTGGGGGGAGAACCTCTCTATCTCCTGGATCTGAATGCCTCTTTCCCTCTCCAAATTAGGGAAGTTCTCAGCTATGATTTATTCAAATATGCTTTCTGGCCCTCTCTCCCTCTCGGTATTCTCTGGAACCCCAATTATATGTAGATTTTTCCTTTTGAGGCTGTCATTTATTTCCCTTAACCTTTCCTCATGGCCTTTAATTGTTTTTCTCTTTTTTCCTCAGCTTCCTTCCTTTCTATCAACTTGTCTTCTATGTCACTCACTCTTTCTTTTACCTCATTAACTGTCGTTGTTAGGACCTCCAGTTTGGATTGCATCTCATTTAATTGTTTTTTAATTTAGGCCTGATTAGATCTAAA